GGAAGGTGAATAAACTCTCCGAGAGTACAGCAGCCCTGTCTATGTTGTTGACTGACCCATCATCACCATTTGGAAAGGAATGTGACACATGGTGGGCACGCAGTAGTAACTGAGAGACAAACAGGTTTGTGCTTTTGTAGTGTGGAAAAGCCCATGCCATGTAAGACTGGCAAAGCCACACAGGGTTTGAGAGAGTTTTGGAAAACTGAAAACCACCGCTGATGCTGATTCAATAGCTAATATCAACTGTTACTACTTACATGATGCATTAAAAATAAGTTCATTCGGCAATTCATTACTTGAGTCATTATGCTTCATCGTCACAGATCTTATGAATCTGCTCAGATTTATTACTGAAAACAGTCATCTCCCACTCCAGTGCTTTTCCTTCTGATCACTCCTAGTCCTGCTGTAATCTATTTTCTGCCCCCAACATTCTCAGGGCAAGATGACCAATATCTTTCATCTGTCAAACAGAATGGGCACGTCCCACCTCAAATGTATTCAACATAAGTAACCTGTCCCCTCTCTTCCCTGGGTGTTCTGTCACACTTACTATCCCATTTGGGCTGCTGCTTTAACTTTGCCAATCTCCCCTTGACCTGACATATACAGATAAAGTCAGCTAGCCTCTGCCTAGTTCTTTTCTTTTTATATGCTCTTTCTATGAGAGTTCATCTACACCAGTGTTTTCAATTTATCATATTACACCTAGATTCCCAATCTCTCTTTTCTAAGCACCAGTTTCTTTTTTTTTTTAATTTTATTATTCATATGTGCATACAAGGCTTGGGTCATTTCTCCCCACTGCCCCACCCCCTCCCTTACCACCCACTCCGCCCCTCCCTCTCCCCCCTACCCCCTCAATACCCAGCAGAAACTACTTTGCCCTTATTTCTAATTTTGTTGTAGAGAGAGTATAAGCAATAATAGGAAGGAACAAGGGTTTTTGCTGGTTGAGATAAGGATAGCTATACAGGGAGTTGACTCACATTAATTTCCTGTGTGTGTGTGTGTTACCTTCTAGGTTAATTCTTTTTGATCTCACCTTTTCTCTAGTTCCTGGTCCCCTTTTCCTATTGGCCTCAGTTGCTTTTAAGGTATCTGCTTTAGTTTCTCTGCGTTAAGGGCAACAAATGCTAGCTAGTTTTTTAGGTGTCTTACCTATCCTCACCCCTCCCTTGTGTGCTCTCGCTTTTATCATGTGCTCAAAGTCCAACCCCTTTGGTTTGTTTGCCCTTGATCTAATGTCCACACATGAGGGAGAACATACGATTTTTGGTCTTTTGGGCCAGGCTAACCTCACTCAGAATGATGTTCTCCAATTCCATCCATTTACCAGCAAATGATAACATTTCGTTCTTCTTCATGGCTGCATAAAATTCCATTGTGTATAGATACCACATTTTCTTAATCCATTCATCAGTGGTGGGGCATCTTGGCTGTTTCCATAACTTGGCTATTATGAATAGTGCTGCAATAAACATGGGTGTGCAGGTGCCTCTGCAGTAACCTGTGTCACAGTCTTCTGGGTATATCCCCAAGAGTGGTATTGCTGGATCAAATGGTAGATCAATGTTTAGCTTTCTAAGTAGCCTCCAAATTTCTTTCCAGAGTGGTTGTACTAATTTACATTCTCACCAACAGTGTAAGAGGGTTCCTTTTTCCCCACATCCTCGCCAACACCTGTTGTTGGTGGTGTTGCTAATGATGTAAGCACCAGTTTCAATAGCCTGCTTTATTATCTCTCTGCCACCCAAAATTCAACATAACCAAAACAAAAATGATCCTCACTTTCCTGCCCCAAACTTTTCCCATCCCGTGTTCCCTGGCAATGATGCCACCATTGGTAAAGGTGAGCACTGCAGAAATGTGTAGGTTGTGCTGACACCCCTCTCCTTTTCCCTCATCCATTCCTGTCTTCTGCTCATTCTCCCTCCTGATTTTCTCTGGAAACACCTATTTCTCTCCCAGCCAGTGGTGCCACCTTCTAACAGTTTTCTCTCTGCAATAGTCCTCTCGTGTTCACCCATACTCACTCTGGCTCTCCTCCATTCCAAATTAATCGTTTTTCTTTTGTCATCAAATTTTTATATTGTTTAAAACCACCCAGTAGCTTCCTATTGTTTTCAGAATAAATTCCAAAATCCTTAACAGGGCCAAAGAACCCTGTATGAAGTCATCTATACTCCCTCTCCAGACATTCCTCAGGGTGCTTAGGTCACTCCCATTTTTTACTTGGCTCTTCATAAATTCAATAATGAAGAATAACTCAGGAAGACATGAGTCATATGCATATTATAAAAAAAGCCTCAAACACAAAACACACAACCAAAACCCTACATAGATTCCAAATCAAGTGACTTATTTGTTATTTAAAGCTGGTCCTCATTATTCATAGGTAAATAGAGGTACATGCCTCTATTCGGGACACACAGGCAGGAAGATCTTGAGTTCAAGGCATCCTGTGTCTCAAAAACAAAATAGCTGGGGGCATAGCTCAAGTAATAGAACATTTGCTAGCATATGGGAGGCCCTGGGTATGATTCCCAGTACTACAATAAAAAGAAAAAGAAGATCATTTTGAAATATGTTTTGTTATCATGGGGCTACAACAGTTTGTCATATAATGATTGAAGTCACTAAACTTCTATGCAGTTCCAAAGTTGCTTTTGAGAATTAGCTCCTAGGACTTGCCCAGGTCATTCTGCCAAGTAGAGATTTTAAAACAAAACAAATACCACACACATAACATACATCTCTGCCATTATTTTAAGAAAGAACATTTTTAACAACAAAAATTGGAAATTCATAAAATCAAAATAAAGGCTAACATTGTAAATTAATGGTTTTAGTTTATAGCTTTACTTTTCTCCTTTCATTAAAAGACCTGTGGAAACATTTTCCTGACCGACAACAGTGGACAGACTAGATTCTGACAATCATTGATCTAAGTAAGAACTATTAAATTCATTGAAACGCTGTTCACTCTTCTTATTTAGAAAACAGCTTTTCAAAATATCTTGCTTGGGCTATAGCTCAAGTGGTACAGTGCTTGCCTAGCATGTGCAAAGCTCTGGGTTTAAGCCCCAGCAATGCAAACATAAATATATAAATAAACAATAAAACAACACTGTTGCCTGGAAAAATACAAGATTAAGAAAGAAAACAAACAAACAAGAACAAACAAAAACAAGTAGCCCCTGACATCTGAAACTACTCTGATGTTCACAGGTAGACCTCAATATTATTATCAGCTAGTCTAACCCTCACAAAGCAAGGCCAATTAATGATTCTGTCTAAGCACTGACAAAAATAATGACACTACAACTCACCAAATATCAAACACCCTCTTCTCCTGCTAAGTGAGTGAATGCTTTTTTTCTTTTGGTGGTACTGGGGTTTGAATTCAGGGCCTTGCTAGGCAGGTACTCTACCACGTGAGCCATGCTACCAGCCTTTTTTGCTGTAGTTGTGTTTCAAATATAATCTTGCTTTTATGGTTGGGCAGGTGCCCTCCTATTTATGTTTCCTGAGTAGCTAGGATGATAGGTGCATGCCACCACACCCAAATTTTTGTTGTTTGAGATAGGGGTTTCCCTGTTTGCCCAGACTTGTACCAAGTGTGAACCTCTAGATCTCCACTGCCTGAGTAGTTAGAATTACAGGTGCCACAAATGGCACTGGCCTGAATGCCACTTGCTTGAGTTCTTTACTCAAGATTTGTTCCACTTTCTAAAAACATCCAATCTACAGCAAGCCCTGGATTCCTTAGATGTACACCCAAATCATACAACCAAAGTCCAAATTCTGTAAAAGGTGTTTTCTAACCCACAGTTGGCCAGGGTGTGCATCCTCCTTCAGTTCCAGTAACATTACACCCAATTTGTTCAACTATTAGTATATTCCTAGGGGTCTTTAGATGAAGGTCATCAACAGTACCAAAATATCAAATTCTTTAAAATATTCCCATAATACCAACCCCTCTCAATCAAAATTAATTCTCTATCCACACTAGGTAAACCATTTTCCTTATATTTCAATCCTTGTCCACATGTACACACTGTGTATTTTTCTATTACTGATATCGCTGTATGCACTATTTTGCGTTCTATTTTTAATCTGGTCTATCCCATCATAGTCTGATTCTTAAACTGTCTCTCCTTCCTGGAATAAAAGAACAGAGAGACTGTATATCTTGCTCCTACTTTTGACATACTGCTCCTAGCAATCCAGTATCATTCTCATCTAGCCTCAGGTCAGATGCGCCCAGGTTCTTCATCATCTAATCTACTGACAGAGAAAAATGCAATCCTGTTGTTTTTAAAGAAATGAATTATGAAAGAGCGCCGTGACTGGACATCAAGAACCCAGCTAAGAATGCTTCATTAAACAATAGTGTGACCTCTGGCTAGCTTTTCTCACTCCAGGTCTACTTCCTCTTGTGTAAAATGAAAGAGTCAGGGCTGGTCCCTGTCTCCCGCAGTTGAGTCTGTGACTTGCTTGCGGAAAGGGCCACGGGACAGGCGTTCCCACGACAGGGCGTGGGGACACCACGGGCGCGCCAGCTTCCTCTGCGCTGCTTCCAGAGGGAACTTCTTTAAGGGAAAGCACCTGGTTACTAGGCAGACAATGTCAAGGACATCAAGCAAACGGTCGCTTGAACTTTTCCCCTAAAGAGTTTTGGATGCGAGAGGCTGGAACTGGTAGTTCAAATACTATCACTCAAACCGGAGAATGTGCGCGAAACACACCCAGCCATTCTGAGGAGACGTGGGTTTCCCTAAAAGATGTTCTTGTTCCAGCCAGCCCCAAATCGACCGAGGATGGGGCTCACCTGTCCGGTATGCACCCACTCTCCCGCGGACAAAACCACAGATCCTGTAGAAGATGCTCCCCGCGACCAGGTGTTCCTCACTCTCGCCCACCCCGCCACACCTGCACCCGCAGCCCCGCCTGCACCTGCAACCCCATCTGCGCCTCGGCTCGAGCTCACCCACCGGCGGCGCGTGCTGCGCCACGGCGCAAGTGACGGCCGCGGCCAGGAGGACAAAGGCGAGACGACTTCGGCCCAGCATCTCTCCAGCCCCTAAGGCCGCTCGAAGGGACTCCCGCAAACGCAGCCAGAGCACCGCTTTGGCCACCCAGCAGGCCGCACCCCTCCCCCCACGTGATCCGCGACTGGACCATACCACGCGAGGCGGGGGGGGGCGCGGCGAGACAGAGTAGGAAAGAGAGGACTGTGGCGTGTCAGAGTCGCAGTAAGGGCGACAGAACAGGGAGACTTCTTGTTGGAGGACAGACCCCAAGCATAGAAGGCAGTGCTCGCTTTATGACCGTGGTGCGGCTCGGCGTTTTCCGCCCCCCCCCCCGCTCTGCGGGCAGTGGTTGGATCCAGCTTTAGCCCCGCCCCGGAGGATGGGCTGCAAACCTTAGTGCGCAGGGGAGGGGCGTGCAGGCCGCGGGGCCCGGGCCTGGGGGCGGAGATCTGGTGTTCATGGAGTGGACCCCCCCTTCCCCAAACCCACCCACTGGTCGGGTCTGCGCTGGGCCCTTTGGGTACCCAAAGTCCACAAAACGGACTTAGTCTCAAAACAGAACGGAATGAATGCCCGACATCTTTACCGTCTGAGGAAAGCTGGCCCTAAGCAAGTCAGTCAGGTCATTCATGCTGCCTTGGGACGGGGCGGGAGGGTCACTGGACCGCCGCCGGTGTCGGGGAGCTAGGAGATGCCGGGTCCGCCAGGATGCTCCGGGGCTTTGGCGCAGGGTCTCGCCCTTTGTTACACCCAGGCCCAGTGGGCAGGTGGAGCCAGCCGCCCTTCGTTCGCTGCTGTGCCTGTTGAGCGGCTCTGCAGCCTCTGTCCCCCTAACTCCTGAAAACTCTCCCGGCTGACCCGGCCAAGCGAAACCCAGGAGGAGCCGACGCACCTGGTGTGCGCAGCCTGCTCCTGGAAAATGGGTAGAAGAGTGGGAAGGAGGACTGCACCGTGCTGGTTAGGCTGAGCTGTCCAAGAGCCCCACAGGAAATCCTGACCTCTGGGCTACACTTTCTGGTTCAGACACTGCGAAATCTCAAGAAGTTTTTTTTTTTTTTTTTTCCTTTTAAATGTTTCAGTAAAACTCAGAACACTGTTACTAAAATCTTCATGTCCGTCTGTTTTTTTTTTTTCCAATGCTTGGAATCAATGCATTTCTGTGTGTGTGTGTGAAATTGCAGTTTTACCCATTTTTATTACTTCCTTAGAAAATTAAATCTTTGTTGTTGAGGTTGGGAAGTGAGAATTTGATGTAGATTTGGAGGGGGATGGTAAATGTACTTTTTAAGGAGGAAGTTTTGAAACATAACACATGATTAAATAACTTGGGTTGCTTGAACACTAAGCAAGCAGATCATAAAAATAGTCACTATCAGAGGGGGTGCCAGCGCATGCCTGTAGGCCCAGTTACTTAGGAGGGAGGAAGATCCTTTTGAGTCCAGGAGTTCAGGGCCGGTCTGTGTAACATAGGGAGACCATCTCAAAAAAATAACTATTAATAAAAAATTATTGCAAACCTACAATGTTCCCAGCTTTTCCCCACAACGCTTAGGATAAGCAGGGAGCAAAAACAACAAAAGGACAAAAAGGGTTCTTCCTTTGTGAGGCTAACTAGGTAAGTAGGCAATAAACATAACACATAAGAAAATGACATAAGATGTTGAAGGTAATCAGTGCTCCATCTGGGCAAGAGGGTTGAGAGGGAACAGTTAAAATTTTAAACAGCCTAGGTAGGATAGACATTGAGAAGGTAAATTTGAGCAGGAGGAGGAGAGAAGTTAGTCTTGTGGATGCCCAGGAATGCATATTCCAGATAGAGGGAGACACTGGTGCAAAGGCTTAAAAGTGAGAAAGTCACTGTACATTTCAAAGTTAGACAAAAGGACTTCAAAAGTTTTTATCATAAAAGATAAAAATGTTTAACCTGTTGTATACATATGTACAATTTTATGCATAAGTTTAATAAATTTTTAAATTATGTAAGTGATTGCTTCTCAGTCTTTTGGTGAAGATCAAGTGAAATGCTGTAACTTGGTTTTAAAAATTATGAAATTCAGCAACTTCAGGACTTTAAACTTATTTCTTTATATAGTATATGACAGCCCAAACTGAGGAAATAATTTATATTCATGTAAATATGCTTGGAAAATAAAGGCCTTTTAATACAAGGTGGACTTTAATTTTTTTAAAAAAAGTGAAAACTCAGCTACAGTAAGGAAGCTGGTGTGGCCAGAATAGAAGGAACAAGAGGAAAAAAATTAGATGAAGTTGAACAGGTAAGGAAAGGATTTTGAAGACCATTAAGAGTCATTGTAGCCAGATATGGTGGCTGTTGCCTGTAATGCTAGCTACTTGGGAGAATTAAGGTTCAAGGTCACCATGGGCAAAAAGTTGGCGAGATCTAATTTCAACAAATAAGCCAAGCATGGTGGTACACAGCTGTAATCTCTGCTACCCAGGAAACATGGATAGAAGGATTGAAGTCCAAGGCTGGCCTGGTACAAAAGTGAGACCTTATCTGAAGAAAAACTAAAGCAAAAAAGAGGTAGGGGCATGGCACAAGTGGTAGAGTACCTACATAGCAAGAATGAGGCTCTGCGTTCAAACTCCAATACCAAAAACTTAAAAAAACAAGAAACTGATGTTCACTCTGAGAATGTGTAACATTACATACACATGTTCAATGTTTAATTACCTTGGAGCTTAAAATAAATCTGTCAGAATAAAGAATTTACATCTTTTGGTAGTTATTACCAAATCAAATACCTATTTGATTTGAGGATCATTCTCCTTAAATACTATTGAGAGCAATTAAAACATGTCATCAAACATATTTTCCCCCATGAGAGGGTAGACATTGGTGTTTAGGCAGTATGGCAAAATCAGAATCTTTATGCAGAAAACATGCCAATTGGCATAGTATTTTTGTGTACAACCTTCATCTAATTATGCACATAACTTTCAAAAGCCTATTTTAAATACAAGTTGAAATTTAAATCTACTTCCTTAAAATTATACCATTTTATGCTTGTCTTTTGTCCCTTCTAACTCATACTTTTTTTTTAACCTACTTCATTCTTCAATACCAGAAATGTACAGAAAGTCAAGGCAAGATGTGTGGCTGTAGGGAACTTTGCAATAGTTTTAAACATACTGACCTATTCCTAGAAAATGGTATTTAGATGTACAAATGTATGATTATGTCTTTGGGGAGGGTGGTTCAAATTCTGCACAGAAGCATCAGGTTTAACACTTGGGTAACCTGTTCAGCATGTAAGAGTCAGCATAAGTAATCAAATTGTTTACTGGAATAGCTGAAGTTCTTGGCAAGCCATAGACTTCTATTCTCCAACCTAACATTCCTAGGTTTCCAAGGTGGAGCCTTGATTAAAAGCCATTGCAACCTAAAAGGAAGGGGTGGAGGGGGTGAACATGGTCAAAACACTTTATACACATGTATGAAAATAGAACAATGAAACCTGTTGAGATTGCTTTGAGAAGGGGTACAAGAGATCAGTAGGAGTGATGAGGTGAATTTAATCAAGATATATTGTATACATGTATGGAAATGTCACAATGGAACCCCTTTGCACAACTAATATAATCTATTTTAAAAGTTTTAAAAATAATTGCAACCTAATCACCCCACCCTAAATGAAGTACACCACATATAATGCCATATTACTCAGAACATATATGACTTGGATTTTATAAAATACTGAATACATGAAAATTTTTACTAGAAGTTCAAGGAATTCAGAGATGGTGTTGAAAATAAACATTTTGTGCAAGGCACCGGTGGCTCATGCCTATAATCCTAGCTACTCAGGAGGCAGAGATGAGAAGGATCATGATTTGCCAGCCTGGGCAAATCATGAGACCCTATCTTGAAAGTACCCAACACAAAAACGAGCTGGTGATGTGTACACTTAAGGTGTACGCCTTGAGTTCAAACCCCAGTACTGTTAAAAAAAAAAAAAGGAAAAGAACATTTAAGCTGAAGTATTTATCAAATAGAAGTTGTTTCTTTTTCCCTAATGATTTAGAGGAGCTGGATGTGGTGTGCATACTTATAATCTCAACTCTCAGGAGTCTGAGGCAGGCTTTCAGATGCCAGATTGGGCTACATAAAGAGACCCTATTTAAAAAAAAACCCAAATTAATTAAATTTTAAAAATACTTTGTATATTTAAAACATATTCTGAGTTTCAAAACAGATTATGTCCATCTTTTCAGGAAGGAATCTAGATAATAAAAGATGAAAAAGTGGTACATCAGAGTCATATAAAATTATTGCATGTCCCCTTTCCTCTGGTAGCTTTATCACAAAAGATTACTTGTTTCATGTCTTACTTTTAGATTGGCAAACATGTAAAATCATTACTTCATCTTGAGGCATAGTGATACTTTATTCTTTTACAAAACTAAAAATGTAGTGCTCACATTTAATTGTCACCCCATAAATGTTAAAATAATAGTTATATTAACTATTCTTCAGTTTGCACTTGTCTTTCTGTTTCTTTGTTGAACATTTTGAGGTCTTACTTATACTCTAAACATGTTAGAATTTCAAGAGCTACTTTGGAAAATAAATTTCTTTTGTCCTGTTTCTACTATCCTTTATGAAACGTAGTCTGATCCGAAAGTTTTTTGTTTAGTTTTTTTGTTGTTGTTTGTTTTTTTGTTTTGCAGTGTGCATGCTAACCATGGGCTCTACCATTGAGCTACCTCCCTTGTCCTGGCAGGCTATTTTCTTTGTTTTTTTTAATTGAAAAAAAAATCTTTTATTCATATGTGCATACACTGTTTGGGTCATTTCTCCCCCCTTCCCCCTGCCCTCTCCCTTCCCCCCCACCCCCGCTTTCTCCCCTCCTCACCTTCTCCCCCCCACACCCCCTCGCTTCCAGGCAGAAACTGTTTCTGGCAGGCTATTTTCAATTCAACTCAAATCCTATAACCTCTAAATTGTTCTAACTTTTTACGTACTTCCATTTTACACAAATGATTGAAATGAACTAATGCTTCAACAAATTGTTTCTGAGTTTGTGGTAAATTCTTTTATTTCTGTCAATAAGTATTGT